GGGTTCAGGGGATCTCGTAGTCGAGCTGTCTCGACTAGAGCTTTCTTACTTGTTGGTTTTTGGCTTTACTATAAATAGCAACTGGGTCAAGAAACTGAACAGACGACCCGGGACTTGGTAGTCGCGACCCGGATCGACACTCACCGCCGGATAAGTTATATAGCTGGTTAGTGGCAATTGGTCGCTAGCTCCACGCCAGAAACTTGCGCCGGGCCAAGCCGACTCGTACCAGCGCTTCCGAGTGCTGTCAAAGAGTAGAATTAGTTGAGAGATAATCCCAATAGCCTGAAAAACGCTAGACTTTACCGATATAGCTCTGAGTGCATGGTCAACTCCTGTATAACTTGATTCTATGTGTAAATTCAACTGGAGCTGTGACTCGTGCAAGGACGCAGCTGGACTCGAACGAAAATTCGATAAAACTTCGTGCAGAGAACGAAACCAAAAAGGAATTCCAGCGCCCAACCCCATGTTTGCATATGGCCACACAGCGAATTCGGTTTTACACTTAAGAGGGGTTGTTCATCAGTCAAAGGACACGCATTAGAGGGTAGAACGTGCGCAGGCGCCGAGCGAGCCGCTGGCACAGCTGATGTGAAAGCAGATGGAGAGAGCACTGTGAGTGGGAGAGCAGCATTCTCTCTCAGTTATAGATAGGGGTTTGTTTACAGATTGAGCCAGTGAGAAAGAGGGAGAGAGAGAGAGAGAGGGCATGTGTGGGGGTTTGTTTACAGTTTATGCCAGCTGTTTACTGCATTCCAAGCTCAATTCAGCTTAAGAGTGTTTATACGAAGCTGAAGAAATGTGAAGCCTGGAGTTCATTTAGAAAAATACAAATACATTGATAACGTCAAATATTCTTTTTTCAGAAATTAGGAAATATCAATACAAATACTGAAATCATTCCTCTGCCTAATTTTCCCTTTTCCAATTTTCACGGTTCGGAAATGCGCTTCATAAATAGTTGTACATTGATGATGATTAAGGAACGCACAATATCAGGAACTGGCTGTTGGCCAAGTTCGTGTCGAGTGGATCCAGAACAAAAAAGAAAAGAGAAGGCACGCGAGCAAATGAATAATCAGCTAAAGATGAGGCTATAATTGCGAATAGAAGATGACGGGGCAGCTTTTCTCCTCATACATGAATAAACATACATATATAAACATGTATATACATGTTTGTCTGAAATGCGAATCAAAACTTGTGAACATTAATTGCAAATTAACAATTACTGCGCGCTTGCAAGCGATAAAAAAATATATAAACACCAGCTAAATACACATGGAACGTACATAAATGTAGAGAGCGGAAGAGAAAGAGAGTGGGGCCAATTGGTGGATCTTCTCGCTTGCTCGCCCTCTTGCCCAGCTGTGTGCGATAAACAAAGAAAGCAACCAAAAATAATAGCAAAAGAGATTCGATTCAACATATACGTATATCAAAACATTATACCTATATATAGGTGAGTGTTTTCATTAATGACGCAGTAGAGTAAATTACGCTCATTACGCAAAATTAAATTAGCAGTTATTTGATTGAGCTTCTGGGGCAGAGGAGTGCAGGTGGGGGCTGTGACTTACCGTATTAACCAAATGAACTTGCATTTCCTTCGACTTGATCGTGTTTAGGGCCTCAACAAATCTCATCATCTGACTGCTGCGTGCCGCCAAAAAGATGGTGTTCACCAATGAAAATCTGATTTTCTCCTCTGGAAACTTATAGTGAAGTTCCTCGGTAATGTCCACGAGCATTGCGTGTGCCATATTAAAATAGCCATAATCCAAAGCATCGTCGTAGATCGACGTATTTGCGTGCTCGTCCTGGTCATCGTCGTCGATATCCATGTTGTTCAGAAGCGACGCCAACTGACGCAGCGTGCAATAACTAAATAAACCGCTTATAATGCCGAATTTTCTGATCGCACCAAATGATGAAAAACTTTTTATTGACACTAACACACATGAGCACTTGCTCACAGCAACAATGTTACTGTGCAAGTGAGGCACTCGTTCATGTTCATTTGAGCTACTTATGGTAATCGATATATCGGATGTTCTGTTAATAACAGAATGCTGTTAGCTGCCCGAGTGTCGCCAAATTACATGAACACCAATAATTACATCGTATTGATGTTTCATCGTGTTGCCGTTTTGGCTTATTTTAGCCGGCCATATCTGGCTTATTTCCAAGTACGAAGAAACTTTCATGAGCTGATTGTTGAGCCATAAGACTTAACAGCGGCCCCTCTTTTAGCCACCAGTGTGACCCTAACCATAATAACCACTATAATTAAAATACGTTACTTATTCTTGATTTCCATTTATTTGTATTGTTATTCAAAATAAAACTTATGTGCAAACATGAAACAATTGTGTGAAATACAGCTTGAAATAAAACACACATATACATATAATTTATGTGCCTTCCTCCGTACGTGTATATATAGGCGTGTTTACAGTTTTTTTTTCTTCAAATCAGCTATAGTTTCTCCTCTCCTATGCGAAATAAGTTTGAGCTCTTGATGTTGTGTGAAATATAGACTTGGTATATTATGTTGTGTTGATATTGTCATTGTAGTAGTAGCATATAGATGTCCGATCGCTAGGAAATTCTCTCGTGGAAAACGTATTAAATGTTGTTTGTTGTAATTTCTCATTTCTTGGTTTCGTTTGAGATTTTTTGAACATTGGGTAACCTGATATATATATATCTATTTATTTTATATATCATTCAGTGTTTATTGTCAAGGTGTACCCAATGTTGTTTTGAAATCGAAGCGTTTCTGAGTCCATATTTTTCCAATTTGTGTGTTTCTTCTGTTGGCATTTTGGAAAACTATGACTGGAACGCAACGATATTTCATGATAGCATATTCAATTATATATATACATTTATACATATATAATGCTTGATCTCTTCTATACACCATTTGTAAGTCGGATCTATTTCTTGTTATTTTTCTTCCAATTAATTCGAGGCGTGTGTGTTGGGTTAGATGTGTGTGTTTCAGCAGTAGCCCAAGCACGAAATTCCAGAGTTTGGGTCAACTTGCACCATATTATTACATATAAATATATATATATATATATACATATGTGTTGATAAATACATATATATATATAAACATCATATCTCATAATTATATATATATATACATAGATCCAAAATTCGTATTCCATCCGCATTATTTTTTGTGAGTCTTCTTCAGTTAGGGCAACGACAACCAAGAATCACAATCATACATATTATATATATTCCATATTCATATTATCCATATCCATTAATTTCACTAACATGTCCTTTCACATATATTCTCGAGTATTATCATTGGGATAGTCATGTGTACATGTTGCGCAAAAAAAAAAAATTATTTTACTTGAAATTTGAACTTCTTACACTTGAATTTTGGGATTGCAATTTGTTTCTAATCTGTGCCGTTCTTCAAAAAGGAAAACAGTTCGCTTCGCTTGTTGTATAATTATTATTTTCCATTCTTTCTTCATCTTCTTCATTATTATTATTTTTCTACATTTTTACCAATTTTTTTTTTCAAAGAGTTGCTTGATGCCTTTGTGACAAATTTTTTGTGATTTTCTTTTTATCATCATATTGGTTATTCTGTTTGTTTCTGGGAAATAAGTTAAAATTTACGTTATATAATTTACTAAATTGGCTAAAAACGCTTTACTATTACTAATATACTATATAATACTATAAATATATATACATCTTTAGCTACATTAGCATATATACAAATTGAAATTTGTTTTCTTGTGACAAAATCTGAAGAGCTTTTACCATTCATTTCGCCTCTTCAGTGGGTGTGTGCATGTGTAAAAAGCATTCTAAAATCTAAATCAACAAATTATATAACAGCTATATAAGCTATTCAGCGCGCAGTTTACCTGTTTTTACATATTTCATATATCTTTCAGTATAGCGCTGAATAACATATATATATATATAAATACTCTATATACATTAGCTACAAAAAGCATTACGTTTCTTAAAAAAGCGTAAAAAGTTAGTAAAAAATAGTTTACTTAGTAGCGCCGCGTCCCTCTTAGTTGGTGGCCGCAATGGGCACGTAGTTGGGGATGGAGATGCTAGCCGGAGCAGTATTGTTCAGTGATTCGGTATTCTTCACCTCCTTGGTGTTGAGACTGGGACGCGAATTACGTTTGCGCTGTGGACGCCCGCTGTTCTTGATAGGCGACGGTGTTTTGGTAGTTGAATCTGGTACAGATGATAAACTTTGCGACTTATCCCCGCCGGCACCAAACTCATCGCTGGCCGAACGCGAACCATTTCCACCGCCGCCGGACTTGTGAGAGGACGTGTTACGCTTATTGCGACGACGAATGGTGCTTGGCTTAATGATCGGTTTGATGGTCACCTTACTGGGATCAAAGAAGCTATCGAGCAGCTCAACAAGCTCGTTTTTATCTTCGGTCTTGAGGCTGGCAATGCCTTGCAGGGCTGCATCTAGCCCCTCGGTACGCTTCTCAGTCCAAATATCATTAAGCGTGGTTAGATCGAAACCATTCTCGGCCAGCACAATACGAAATTTGACGGCACGTACACGATGATAGAGCGTGGTCTTGAAATAGTTCAAGAAGACGGGACGAAACGAATTTTGTCGCTCTAAATGAACATTCTGTGTGTCCAGCTCCTTGACATCACCGCTGATTGCCTCAGTGAAAGGCTTGAGAGCATTGAACAGATTGCTCAAGGCCTCCGCTGATGAATCCGGCTCAGCGGTGTTGCTGCTAACGTCCAAATTGCTTAGCTGCAAAGCCACATTGAAGGTTAGCTTGGCACGGACGCTGGCACTGCCATCGAACTCATCTCGCTCCTTTTGTTGGAGTCCATTCTTTACATGCTTATCCGCGCTACTACTGTTACTGTCAGCTTCATTATCGTTGCCATTGCCCTTGGCGTTCTCCTCCTTGGCCTTGCTCAATATCTTCGACAGATTGCGTAGGCTATAGTGTTTGGTATCGCCAACTGTGGACTTGGCCAGATTGAAGCTGTTTACAAAAGACTTGACTGTCTTGGTGAATCGATCGAGCATGCCGTACTTGACCAGCGATTGCAAAATCATGTATGGAATAAATTTGCGCTCCTCATGGTAAAGCAAGACAATGCCATCCGCATTTGGATTTTTCGATTTTAATTGATCCAACCAGTCAAGGAAGTCTTTTAGCGCAGCGACCTCTGATTTAGATTTGATGATCTGCGAAGCGAGCAAACAAAAATATTCCCCGAATTAGAAACATAATTGGAATACTGGATTATGCTATATATGGTACCCACCTTGTAGGTCTGCATCGACTTCAGCATACGAAAAAATCCAATCGAAATAACGCGAACTTGATGACGCTGACGGGCAGCAGGATTTAGATTCATATACGGCATAATATATTGCTCAAAATGATCGGTAGGAGTATAAGCTGCCAACTGGACAATCTGCCATTTGCAAAAAGTGCAAAAGAGTGTGAGGTTAAATTCGATTGTCAACGAGTTCATTGACCTCTCGCTTACCTCGTCGATGAGACGGCGTCCCGTGGTATCGATGTCAACGGCAACTAAAATGTAGTCACCATTTGGTAGCTCATCCTTTATAGCAACACCTGTCGACGTAGCCGAGGACTGATCCGCGGCAGAGACATCCATCACTGAATCAATGCTAATGGCAACCATTTTGGTATATGACCTGCCAAAAAGAGAAAAAAAAAAAAAAAAAAAAAAAAACAAATACCAATTAAAATACCTCAAGAAAAAATTTAAAATTAACCTTTGCCAGCGGCAACAATATCGATGCACACAGATTGAAGACGAATTGCGAACTGAGCTCTGTGCAGAACTGTCAAACAAGCAAGAAAACATAACGGCACATTTCCAGGACAGTTTTTTGTTTCGCCATCTTTTTTCGCCTCTCAATTTTTATGTGTCATCTTTCATTTTAATTTTCACTCTCTCTCACACACACACACATATGTACATGCTTCAATAATTTGTCCGTTTTCGTATGTACGTATGTATATACATATGAATTTAAATAAATAAAAAAAAAAATAAGAAACAAATATTCGCTCACCTTTCCCACTTATGTTCGGGCTTAATTCGATGGGCTTTTTCGCTTTTTACGAACTTTTTCCTTTATTTTTCAAAAGGGTAAAAAAGCGAGATTTGCTTCCGTTCGACGAGCTTTCACAAATAAGAAACAATTCGTAAGACTAACAAAAACGAAATGAATAAAAATTAAATCAGAGCTAGGCAACTGCCGAAAATTTCAATTCCAGAGCCTACTACAAGTCACTTTTTTAGCTAAGTACAATGGTTGTCACTATTTAAATAATGAAATTTTTAACTGCTGCCCACGGTGCAGCAATTTACTCAAAAGATTCTTATTTATTTTACACTTACACTGATTATAAATGAACTTATTTGCCTTTATCTCACTTTTTAATTACAATTTGTTGGCATCTAAAATAAGCCAGCGCACTTATTACATATGCAACTGCTTTAAGCCGAAAACGCACAAGAACGGGCACGGGCACGGGAACGAGAGAGCACAAAACAAAGATAAGCTGCAGTGTTGTCAAGCGTATTACAGGTATATGCGGGTTGCCGGCAATTGAAACAGAAGAAAGGAAATGTCGTGTTAGAAATTTCCCATGCTTCATGCATTTTTGTCCTAATTGCAAATAAAACTGTTACAAATTCCATTGCGCAGAGCGCTTTGACGTCACAGACTTACAGAAACCAGGGCTGCACAGCGGTAAATGTAAATAACAGAGCTCATTTGCACATGGCATCGATAATTTAACATTACAAGCTTTTCTCTCTTTTATCAGTTCAAAATACGCGCGTACACGCGCATGACGTCACGTCACACAATGCCAGCGCTTGGAGTGTTAACAGACCTGCGCAGTGGCTTACCTTGTAGTTGTATACCTGTGATGCAGCCCTGCTGATACCAAAACAAAAATCAGCTGTCTTATAAAATATTAGTCCAGTGTGATTGCATTGTAAATGTTATTTGTTTAAACAGCACATACAGTTAAATAGACTTTACTATAATTGCTAGAACAATATTATGGTGGAAATTAAATGATTACAGCACATCGGCAGCAAGAATAACAATAGAAGTACACAGAGACACTAAGTCACTCTCTTCGTAGCAACGCGTAAAAGATAAAAACACGGACGAGATAAGAGCAACCCAATCAAACGTGCCAAACAACAAATACGCATACAACTAAACACCTACACACACACACATACAAATATACAGGGGAATAATTAGAGCAAATAGCAAAACGCTAAATATGTTGTCTTACATTAAGCGCAAACTCTCTGAATCGGACAGCGGCAGCAGCAATAGCAACAGCAATAGCAATTCCACACCAGCCGCGGAGCTCGTCCGGAAAACAAGTCAAATGTCATTGGACAATGGTGCAATTGTCTATGGAGAGGATGCCTTACTACATGAGCTGGGCTATCGCAGCGCCACAGATCTGCAAGAGACTATCTATGGTAACGAGAGCATTGCAGATTAATTGATAATAATTATATAATTAGCATATGTTGATTTATGCTCACAGATTTGTTGCGCACCATACGCGATCCGGAGAAGCCCTGCACACTGGAGGATTTGAATGTTATCTATGAGGATGGTATTTTTGTGATGCAGCCAACCCGCTCAAACGTCTCAGTGGTAAGCCTAGCTATGGACTATATAAACTGTGCCACTGAACTACTATGATACGATGTTACTGTGTTACTGGATATCGGAACAGAGGGTCTTGAATTTCTTTACTTTTCTACTGTGCTACTGACCTTCTGTACGACTGGACTACTAGATTACTAAACTGGACTACTACTGTACTACTCTACAACAGTAAATCTGTCCTAAAATACAATTTTTTATTGTTTTTAAGGTTCGCATTGAATTTAACCCGACTGTGCCGCATTGCTCGCTGGCTACGCTGATTGGGCTCTGCATACGCGTCAAGGTAGAGCGTGGACTGCCGCATAATATAAAGCTGGATATTTATATCAAGAAGGGCGCACATCAAACCGAAGAAGAGAGTAAGACTTTTCTAAATAACATAGCAAGACAATCTTATTGATATATCAATTAACCTTTTTAGTTAATAAGCAAATCAATGACAAGGAGCGCATTGCAGCTGCCATGGAGAATCCCAATCTACGTGAACTAGTCGAGAATTGCATCAAGGATGAGGAATAGAAGGCGTGCGGCTGCTCGAATGTGGTGTATATAGAGATATAGGTCGGGTTTAGTTTATAAGTGTACCAAGTACTTGTCGCCTATTGCTGTATAAATTGTCTACAAAATTAAGGTCTTAAGATTTGTTAAAGGGGAGAAAAAAATATGTGAATGTCGAGGCTGATCATGTTCTCATTTGAGTAATATTTCTAAAAACATTTATATATACATCACCATTATATAAAGTGTGTTTATATGTTTTTAATTGTGAAGCGAATGGAGGAGAGACATGTACAGAAATACTTTTCACTGATGCTATTAAAACTTTTTCAAGCACTTCAAATTTTGCTGGCGGTTAGACTTTTTGATTGTCTGAAGTATATTTCCAGAATGGTTCAATTAGCGCCTACATGTTTATATCTTCCTCACTAGATCTAAAGCGGAATTCTTATTGTCCATCTAACCAGTAGGTTCTAGATATTGGCTACGCGCTACTTCAGCCCATTTAATCTGGAATTTAAGCTATTTTAGGCCTTGCCTAATGCATTGCTGATAGTGTGGCACATGTAGCCCCATTTTCCCTAGAGCTCTATGCTATCTATTTATAGAGGGCGAGTAGCTGTTGTTAATCTTTTGAAGAGGCTCGCACGAACCGTGTGCAGGGCAGTTATCTGCTGGGAGGCTCGTGAATGAAATTGTCAGCCATATTGGCTACCATTTTCAGGTGACGAAACGGGCTATCATAGACGGGTATACCTATCAGCCGACAGTTAGATGACTAAACGGCTTATCAGCGAACGCATTTAGTTGTTCTTGGCGTTCGACACATAAAAGAATCTCAATTAAAGCCGCAGCTGAGGCCATTTTTAAACTTGGCGCACAATTAAAAGCAGCTGCTGCTTGAACTTTACTGCAGCCAATATTCAGGAAGGGCACAGGACGAAGGACGAAAAACTCTGCGGATGATAATAAAAAAAAAAAGAAAGAAAGACAAAAACCTTCTGGCAAAAGCATATTGCGAATATTACGCTAATTGGAGTCGGCAATCAAAGTGGACTGCGCGTCTCAGGCACGTTGTGTCGTGCTCTCCCCAAGGATGCTGAGCTCTAAACGAATGCGCCCGACTGAGAGATACCCTGAGCCGAAGTTTGCACCTCTATGGATCTTTAGCTCTTCCGAGATCAAGTGGATGGACAAGGACATGGGCAGTCAGTCGGCCTGTGTTAGTTCGAGTCAATAGCCTATAGCTGATAGAAAATATCTTGCCAAGCCAATATACCCCGTTCATTCATTTTCAATCGAGTGCAAGGCATGAGAGACAAGAATGTTGCCTGGCAAAAATGTCCTTTGGCTTGCTCTCAACGTCGCTCGAGCCGCGTGTCAAACACTTAAGCTTTCAGCAGCTACGCTGACCTTCACCTGTCGCAGGCGGCTTTTGCTTTTTATGCTCGTTTACGACCCGAGTGGGAAGGAGTATATAGGTTTTGTGTAATCCTCAACTTGATGTCCAGCTGCGGGCTTTAAGTCTAATGTCTGATAAGCTGTCTAGACTTTTTGGCCAAAGTCTAATCGAGTTGCCCTCCAGAGAGAGCCATGAGGTATGGAAAACCGAGTACCTTGAGCCTTTATTATGCAGTCAGTTACGCCCGCCTGCAATATTCTGGCTTGTTGTTCTCAAGGATCACGAGCATAACCATTAATAAGTTTGAGCATATCCATTAGCAAACGGATTGAGCTCCTTCTTTCCTATCGGTACGAACAGCTCTTTGATGAGACGTCCTTCCGGCTAGCATTTTCTCGGAATTGCGGCCCATTATTATGATTGCAGCTGCCATAAAAAACGGGACACCACGAATTGCCCCAGTCGCATTTGCTCTCAAATTAACATTCGGATTTCAGTCAACGTTCACATCTTCTGTATTTCATTATGGCTACAGCGTGCATTATGGGAACTATCTTGGATGGGGCTTTACTACTCGGGGATGGCCTTTGATGAGTTTGTGAAAAGGCAATATTTACTAATACTAATATATGAAATGTATATGAAATTGTTGGTTTAGATAATGTATGATTGAATTTGTTTACTCTATACTTCTTCTTCTTTACCTCTTCTCAGTTGCTGTTCATCTTCCCTTCGCTGTTTTACTCGTCTTCTCTGCTTCACCGTCTGTTTTACTCGTCTTCTCTGCTTCACCGTCTGATTTTGCACTATCTTCTTCTTCTTCCACTTCTTTGTCTTCTTGTTGGCTTTTTCTCAGTTTTACTTCATCTGATTTGTCCTTCAGTTCTTAACAATTTCTCCATCTTTTTCATCTTCAGTCAACATCCCTTACTATGTAGGGCATTCAAAATTCGCCCTTTTCATAACTTTCATGCGAAAATGTCACCCAACCATTTTGCTGTCGCCTTGCTACTTATGTACATGCAATTGTAATACGTAATTGTTGTAGTTGCTTGTACAATATTATACCACTGCTACC